GCGTGCGTGCGTGCGTGCGTGCGTGCGTGCGTGCGTGCGTGCGTGCGTGCGTGCGTGCGTGCGTGCGTACGTGCGTGCGTGCGTGCGTGCGTGCGTGCGTGCGTGCGTGCGTGCGTGCGTGCGTGCGTGCGTGCGTGCGTCGTGCGTGCGTGCGTGCGTGCGTGCGTGCGTGCGTGCGTGCGTGCGTGCGTGCGTGCGTGCGTGCGTGCGTGCGTGCGTGCGTGCGTGCGTGCGTGCGTGCGTGCGTGGTGCGTGCGTGCGTGCGTGCGTGCGTGCGTGCGTGCGTGCGTGCGTGCGTGCGTGCGTGCGTGCGTGCGTGCGTGCGTGCGTGCGTGCGTGCGTGCGTGCGTGCGTGCGTGCGTGCGTGCGTGCGTGCGTGCGTGCGTGCGTGCGTGCGTGCGTGCGTGCGTGCGTGCGTGCGTGCGTGCGTGCGTGCGTGCGTGCGTGCGTGCGTGCGTGCGTGCGTGCGTGCGTGCGTGCGTGCGTGCGTGGGTGGGTGGGTGGGTGGGTGGGTGGGTGGGTGGGTGGGTGGGTGGGTGGGTGTGTGTGTGTGTGTGTGTGTGTGTGTGTGTGTGTGTGTTTTGCGTGTTGGTTCCTATTAGACATTGGATGCCGGTGCTGCAAAAGAGAATCACAAAGAAGACACCACACATTGAAGACAGAATAATTTGATCATTCATCTCCAAATCTTGAAAGCAATTGGAGGATCAGTCGGCGCCATCCCCCCAAGGGAGCACGCACTGAATGGCGTGCCTTGGCTGAAGATCGTCAGCCCCTTGTCAGCTCAGTCTCCCTCTTCACGGCGTGCTGAGTAGGCTGAAGTAGCTCCTGCCCATGTTCAGGCCCGCAATCCTTGTCTGTGCACCATGAAAGCACAGGCTCACGATTAACACTGGATGTCTGCTTTCAGGATCTGTTTACTATTTTCTCCCGGACGTCTAGAGGAATGAGAGCCGGGCTCACACATAGCGTTGAGTTTCGCAGTCGTTGAAAACATCGCAGCCGGGGGTTGGTACATTAGTTTAGGGGCTCACGGCAAGCTGAGGGCTGGCTTGGGTTCGGTTCAGGGTTTGGTTAAGGGCAGGTTTGAAGTGGGTCTACAATGGTTTTTTCGCGGATTTGGGCGGGATTTGGGATGGTGGGGGTTCGGAATGGCTCAAGTGGGTTGGTTTAAGATTGGTCTTTGGGTGGGGTCAGGGTGAGTTTAGGTAGGTGTGGTTTCGTTGCGGGTGAGTTTCAGGCTTGTTTGGAGCAGGCTTGGGATGGATAGAGTTGGTTTCGGGGTGGCGGTGCATTTAGGCAGTGAGCCACAAATCTCCACCAACAATCAAAGGCCGCACCGCCAGCAAGCTTCCTAAATGCCTGACTTGTATGACGCATGCAACTCTCCTGGCTGATTAATTCCTCCATGAGTAGTTGCGCAACAGTATCAAACATTGTTGTGATTCAATGACGGTATTGCCCAAGATTTGCCTTGGACCTAGACCTGAGGGTGATGACAACAACGAGCGCAGAGATGTCATCCCTCAATGATAGATAACAGCAAGTGTTGGCTTCTTTCAACTGAACCCTGGAGAGCAGTGTCCATGGGCATGGAATGAATTGCTGTCATATCCTCTTGAGTAAACAAGCCAGTATCCCAGACGGCTGAATCGCACCGAATGCGTACAACTTTTGGTGATTCTGCAAACTGCTGTCCATTCATACACTGCAGGAAACTGGTCAGAATGTCAGGCCGTTTTCTGCACACAGAATGACATGTGATGCTTCGTGTCATTTCTTATTTGAATCCGACAAGCACCAAGGCCCGTCGGCTGCAAGCATCTTTTTGGTGGGTCGACTGCCGAAAACACGTTTGGCAAAGCTCTGGCTCAAATCTGTGCAATTGGATGCCACTTCAAGACAAGCAGTGGTCCTTCAAAGAGGGTGTCAACGCCATAATGGCGCCAATGTTGGCCTTGGAAAGCATTCAAGCACTGCGTAGGCATGGCTCATCGCATCCTGGATGCATACTTAGTTGTCTTGCCAAAGCAAAGTTCGGCAAGCTAGAAGAAGTTGATTGGAATTCATTTGAGTATAGTCTGAATTAGGTATCCCGCCTTACATTGTTTGCCTTGAATTCGGATTCCCTTCAAATTCCCATCTTTGGGCAACACTCCAATTGAGCTCGCCACGTCCCTGTCCGCGATGATGGAGATCACCAGCACTTCCATTCCAATCTGTCAACCGACCGCTGGACTCGAGCTTGTCTTTTTTTGAGGTACCCATGTTTTGCTGTTTTAAAAGAAAAAACAAAAAAGGAAACCTACTGTTTAGAGGCCCGAAAAGAGCACACCCACTTGTGGCCTCGAATGTTAAAGCACCCACCTGCAGCAGATAGGCTTCCTTGAAGGTGCTCAGCACAGTGTTCATCTCAGATTTGCCAGGTGTGATCTCTGAAATGCTGTCAATGTGTGCTGTCTTGATGTTCAATGGGTTGTTCAAGTTCTTGATACATTGGAATTAGAGATGATTGCAGCGGAAGATTGCATTCAGGCAATAGATGAGTTGATGCATGTCCGAGACATTGCATTGCTCCGAGCCCAGGACAGATCCGAGGCTCTTGACCTTCTCGCTCTGCACGTTGAGCAAAGAAAAGATGGTGGTGAGCACGCCACTGGGCAGTTGCTGCAGCGTCGGTTGCCCCAAGCGGAAAACGGCGACTGTCACTAAATCCAGTGCTCTACTTTCCAAAGTCAAATGCGCACCTGGAGGTGTTGTCATCAGATTCGGGAGCCCTGGGCACGGGCGCGACTGTTCTGAACCAAGAAAGCTGATTTGTCCCAAGGCGTCCAGTTGCTGCATGGCACTGGATAGCGGATAGAGATAGCGTTCTAGTTGTCACAAGCATGCCAAGCAAAAGGAAATTGCTGCTCTTCCCTGCCAGCCATGCTCCTAATTCGACATTCCGCCTGCCTCAGCACCACCACACCATCCCGGTCCGTGACAGTGATGCAGCGCACGCCTGCAACTTTGGCGGCGTTTGCCAGGAAAGAAGGCCCCGGCAAAACTTACAACAATGTTATCAAGCTGCGTCCTGCACATGCGAATCTAGCTCAAGACAAGAACCAATCAATGATGTTTGGCGGATGCTTTATATCTTGAATAAGTTGCAACAAACTGGCCGCCAACCCTGATATAGTGCGTTCGGCTAGATTTTCCCAAAAAAAACAAGCGCCTGCAGTCTGTTTTCGAAACTGGTCTAAGGCCGTCTGAACGGTCACAATCGTTGGCCTTGGACAGCTTGGGTGCAAATCCCCAGCTGCAACTCTGGCGTCGTTTAGCTCTGGAAATCCACTCCTGTCATGCTCGCGTGCCTATGTTCGACAAAATAAAATTTCCTGAGGCGGCGGCAGTGCCATCTCTTCTAGCCGTGCAAACTATTGTGCATTCACTTGCTCTGTGTGGGTGACGTCTGTCTGGCACTAATCTATACCAATGCTTTGCCCAAGTGTACATGTTCATGTGCATGAAATTGTTGTTGGTCATGTTTCCTGAATCTCTATCAGCCAGTAGAAATCTGCCCGGAGCCATTTCAACTTTCGACATGAGCGACTGCATCAACTGAGGCAGTCACACGGCCCGAGAAGAAATATCAAACGAAATTGTCGATGCAAACTCCAATGGCACAGCTTGCGCCGCCAAGCTCTCTCCCGCCAACAGAACAATGCCTGGCACAGCCCATGTCAACCACAGGCAACCATCTTCGTTCCCGACAAGGATGTTGAAAAACTGAGTGGCCTGCGGTAAGCAACATATTTTGATTATGTCAGCTTGTTAAAGTGCATTGCTTCCATCAATGGTAAAATATGTCCTACAACTGCAAGCCCTTGGCCAATGCAGCGAAACAAAAGCCTTGCCATGCTCATGGCAAGGTCCGAAAGACAAAACCTTCTGTTCGTGGGCAGGCAAAATGCCAATTCTGAATTTAAGAGGAAGGACTGCCAGATCAGACTGCCGCTTGCTGTCATTGCATCGCGTCAAGGAATGGCACGCTTGCAGAGCGAGCGAGCGCAAACAGCAACATGGCCAACGCACAGATCCCACCAATGCAATGTGGAAGCCTCTGATCCGGCTTGATGTTCAAGTGGCCAAAGTCCACACTCACAGTGGGTTCAGCCCCAGGAAAGGCACACGGCAACTTCTTTTGCGCATTCCTTCCCTTGCAGCAATCAAATCTAAAAACTTGGGTCTGATGTCGTTGCCACGGATTGTTCACAAGCATCCGAGTGGCTCTATTGACAAACAATTTTGTGCCACATCTTTGAAGTGGCACGGGCAGACATCCTCACATCTCCGGTGAACCCGGTCAGATCATTCGATTGAAGGGTTTGCAAACTGGCCGGTAGCCTTCTCCACACCTTTCAGGTTCTGCAAGATCTTCAATACCTGCATGCACAAAGGGCGACAAGCCCCTCAAAAATGGTAACTCGGAAACCCTCAACCCGGCCTTCGCCGCCGTCTCCTCCACGCCGCCATTAGTGGTGTCGATCACCGGCCAGCGAGGACCTTTCCTTGCAAGGAGCCATTCAGAAGTTTCAGTGAACTGGACTTTGCTGTGAAGGAAGGAAAGGGATATCTTCTCCCTTTCCCATCCCACAACGGCAACTCAAGGAAGGGAAAGTTGACCAGAGAAGATACAGTAACCATCATGTCCTCCGAACCCATCAATGAGATATATAATTTCTATTCTCAAGACGGATGAAAAATGGTTCTCACAACCGCTTCCTGCGCTCGCGATAACTTGTCAACGGGGTGAGCAAACCTGGTAAACACAGGCATTCCTTTCCTCATCATCCCTTTTCTTCATCTTGTTTCCACGGCATAGCGCATGATGGAAAGGAATGAAATAGAAGGGACTGGACCCATCTCTATCCGTTCCGTCAAATATGTTCTATTACTCGAGGACGGATTCAGAGTTGAAGTACAGCGCTTCGCCAAGTGAACAGTGGTATTTCAATAGCCCCCCGTGCAAGGTGGATTTCTACTGGACCCGCTTCTCTCAAGCACATTGTCCGAGAGGCCGCATGTAAAAGGTCTTCAGCCAGTTCACCTCTTTCCGGCAGTTCTCCAATGAAGAATACCTGACACAAATTACAAGAAACATTCAGAGGAATCAAAGCAGCTGCGATTGACATGGATCAAACAATCAGCAGAATGGTGTGTCAAAACGCCTGCTCATCACAGCACAAGTTCCCATCAAGCCTACAAGCAGCTACCACTACTCTGCTTGCGGCTCGCTTGCCGGAGAGGTTGAAGGAGGCAGCCCTGAAAAAGGATCCAAGTAGCAACCCGTGCGAACAAGATGCATCGACTTGGCAGATCCATAGGCCGTCCTTCGATACATATGCTTGGTCTCGCAACGAGCCTTCTGTGTTGCTGTGCGCCTGTTAGCCACTCAACTTTGATGGAACAGCTTGTGATAGATGTCCCGGGCACTTTGCAACGGCTTGCTGCTTTACAAACTTTACAACACTGAAGTCGTTTGTGACCAATCATGCCAGCTTGCAACAGCTTCCAGTACATATGCTGCGCCCTTGCTTGAAACTGCATCTGGGGCTCATCCGGGCTTGGCGGACAGCATGCAAGCGCTGTGCCTGGATTGTGAGAGCCACGCACTTCTGCCTCAGGGTGGGTGAGAGCGGCAGGGGCAGTTCAAAACTAAACTTGGCGCCATGCATGACAAGTTCAAGATTTGAACCCAGGATCAAGGAGACGACATGGTTCAGGGCTCCTGCACAGGCATGCAACAGCACAAGGGGTGGAAACTGAAAAGGGCAGAATGAGGACGAGTCAATTCGGCTACGCACTTGAAAGCCAACCCGGAAACTGGCCCCAGCACACAGTCGCAATTTCCATTGCCAACACGTCCCCGGCGACATGCAAATGAAATCGTATGCTGCTGGCAGGATTTTAAGACTGGGTTTCTCTGTTGAAAGCAAGAGAGGGAGTGTTTGCACAGCTCTCACCTCTAGAAGTCGGGTCATGATCGCAGTTCAGCCAGCAAATAATTTCAACAGCGAAACCCAGCCAGTGCGCTGCATCCACTTGAAAGAACAGAGTGCTGGAGGCGTGCATCAGGCGTATCAGGAGTCAGACTCCCGCTCAAACAATCTTAAACAAATGGATTCTAGGATGCTAGGCATATTTGAGCATATCGTGAAAGGTGGACCGCTTCTGTTAGAACCTGCTGAGCGCCCTCTGATACAAAGCTCAAGACATCTTGGTTTTGGGCCGGAAAGTGGGAGGGCCGCAGCTCAGCTCTTGGTACGTCTGTGCTTTCGTGGGGTGGAGTCTGTCGCTTCATCGAGCACTTTGCGCTATCTCAACAGAAACTGCACAGAGTAGAACCAAATAAAATGGAGAAAAGGGACCAAGCCGGATGGGGCCACTCAAAACATGAGGCTATCGGGCCGCAGCTCCAATTCAAGAAACTGCTTGTGAAAGCTTCAAAGATTGCATAGCCACAAATCGGATCGGGAAAAGACGTGCGCCGTTGTCAAATTCAAGTAGCTGTCTGCTTTGAGGAGCCTTTGGCGTTGAGAAGAAGCATTAATCAAGATAAGATGGAGTAGCCTGAAGACAACACCGCCAGCAAAAAGCGCACGTGTGTCATGTGCACCTATGACTTCCTGATCAAAATATCCAAATCGTGTGAAAGTTGCTTGAGCAAGCAAGTCCTGTCAAATAAGTTGCGCCAAAGGAAACAGTTGTATCTAAGAACAGCTCGAGGCACCTTGCCATGTTTGTGTGCGTGTGTGGTATGCAGCAAATCTCTGTTGCTGAATGCGTGCAAGAAGATATCCTAGAAGAACGTAACTCAAGAGCGTCTGCAATAAGCGGTTCCCGTTTACAGCAAGTTCTGCTTGAGTTGTTTCTCCGTCAGTGGGATCCATCTACATAGCTGATGAGCCCGTACTGAACCTCGTCGGGCGGCCTCGCAAAAAACCTCACCTGGAAGCCGCCTGTTTGACTACACATGATATGAAAGATCTCCCGAAGTTACTTCAGTTAGCTGGGCTTGAATCTTAGACAGCCTTCTTGCAGGGCTTGCCAGGCTGCTGATGTTCCGGGTTGAAGAGGTCCTCTGGGGGCTCCTCATCCGGGATCACAGGATAGTTCGCAACTTTGAAGCCCCGCTGGGCCAGGAAGAACCTGCACTCAGGACTGAGCTTGCTTGCGTCCTGCTTCAATTTCTTTCTATTGACGTCATGTTGCATTCTGCCTACCTTCTGCGACACTGCACCAAGGTCAAAGCCGAGTCACGACAAGGGAGTCTTTCCTGCCCGGGAAAGTCCAATCAGAATGATGTCCTGAGCATGAACGGCTGCAAGAAAGACATGGTGCCAAATCAGAATCGGTCTCCACACCAAGAACTGGCCAAAACCATACATTCGCAACCCGCGAGCTACACTCTGCTCGTATGCCTAGTGCATTCTGGTTCATGCCGCTCGGTACGTGCAAGACGTTTATCAAATTCACTCGACTTTCGACTTAGGCGTGTGGTCCAGGCTGCGGCTTGTGACCAAAGCTCTGGATGCCTTCCATCATCCAGCTTCCGAGTAAACTCAATGGCCTGAAGCAAGCGCCCTTGAAGCCGGCGAGAGAAGGACTGTGCGTGCCTCCACCATGTTGATGCATTCGTCTGAAAGCCGCGATCGCAAAGTAGCGCGTACCTGCAAAACGGGGCCCCCGACACGTGGAAACCTGAAGCCTCCAAACGCCCTGCCTCGGACTTGCGGGGGATTCCGAGCAAATCCTCCATGGACATCAGCAGTGGCTCGTACAGGTCAACGGCACGGAGCCTGATCGAACCATCTCTTGAGGCCTTTAAGCTGACTTTAAACTGGGCATGAAATTCAACGAACTGTGAAATGATCTGAAGCCCAAGCAGCGGTTTATCGCTCTCTTTGGCTCGTTGCACCTCTTCAATCATTGCGTTCCGTGGCTCCTCCCGCATCAACGTGTACACAATTAGTGCATCTTCGTGTCGGGCACGACGAGCCACTTCAGCAATCTCACCCTTGTACCGGATGTATGGAAAGTTAGTGACGTCAACGCCCTGGCATGTACCAGTGTACCTGTATTCAAATTGCTTCAAAGCCAGGCTCACTGCCCCCCCAGCTGAATAGCCGGACCCATCAGACACTACGAAGATCGAGGGAGGTTCCGCCTCGAGGTCCACAATCTCGCATTCGTCCTTTGAGTCTTCGGCATCTGCAGCTAGGCGGTCGATGATGTTATAGAAGTCCTCTCTCCGCAGTTGCCACAAAGTAGCTGGCGTGTCACCACGAACTCGGACACTTTCCATGCAGGTGCGATCATAAAACAGCCCAAGCTCGCCAATATACGAACCAGGCCCCAAAGACGTAGCTTCGATTTCTTCCTCGCAACGTGCTGAAGGATTCAACAGTTTGACGACATCAAAACTCAAACACTATGATTTTCATCAACGCTCCTCTTCATCATGCTTCAACGGCTTGACTACACTCAACTCACCGGATTCAACCACGTAGACAGCATCAACAGGCTGGCCCTTTTGAAAGATGTGCTCTCCGGGCTCCAGTTCCAGTCTCCGCATAGTATCCAATATTTGTTGCAGGGAATCCTCTGGCAGTGCTTGCAAGACCGGCATGGTACGATTTTCTCGCAAGCACTGCCTGATTGCATCCCTTGCATCACGGCTGTTCCGTAAGCGCACTCTTCCCCTCAAGACTCCCAAAGCTGACACGGAAAGCAGCCACGCCCGACTGGGCTGTCGCCAGGATCTATCTGGAGAGACCTGCACAGCACCGCGCCGTCCAGTGAAATAGGTGGGAGTTGGCACCGCATTCCATGCTGGCGACAGTAGCATGGCAAATATCTCTTTCAACTAGTATGTAAGGACAAGCTTACACCAATGAGCATATGTTCAGCCACATGCACACACTGACACTGAACGCGCTGCAAGATCATAATCGCACGTTGCTCAGATGTTTGTTCGCTGAATTTGCTGCAGCATTTTCCCAGATTCTCAAGCACCTATGCCCCAATCCAACTACTCGACAAGACCTGTCAGAAATGCAACATAGTTAATGGATGTGCTTCTTATGTGTCTGTTTTGTAGCTGTGACAATATTTCGGAGCTGACATACCGGAGACTATAAAAATGAGATAATTGCATCAACAAGCACAGCGTGCGATACACGAGGGAAAAGATGGTGCATGCACCCTACAACATGCAATCAAGGGAAATGTATTCGGTGCTGCCTGCTGAAACTATGCTGCCACAAGCTAATGCCAAAGAGTCCTTTTGGCCCCGGACATTGAATGTGTGCAGTTAAAGCAATGTCAACTACAAAAACACGTTGAATAATGCAAACAAGCGCGCGTGCCATAGTGGAGGTTCACATTATTTCGTTATTGAGGGCGTTCTGATAAGCGGGGTGGGGGATTATTGTTCGCCCGTGCCCCCTCAAACAATAAACCCCACCCCGCCCCTGCGTTTGTTTTTACAGTCATTGAACCCGACACGTATGTTTGGTTCAAGGGCCATTCTCTTTCCACTCGCAGCGCGGCATTTCATGCAGCAGTGAAAATCCCTTGCGGCGCGGTCTCCGGGATATGCTATTTAGAGGAGTATTTACCAGGACCAATACATCCACTCGTACTGAAATAGATCCAGGGCCACACAAAGCACCGTCAAGTGCCCCAACGGAGCGGGTTTTTCAAAAGATCCAAATCAAGGTGTCATCCAATGGAGAAGGTTTCATGGAGGCCAATTAATTCCAGCGCAGGCCGATCAGTCGGCATCACGGAAAAGACCCTTAATTTGTGACTGCCAAACAGCCGTTGTACGGAAAAGTCAGATGGTTCAGACATGAGATGATCAGACGACATTCACCACGATCGAAGCATCCAAGAGAGGACCTCGCCTGAAAGGCACACTCATGGAAGATGCATACATGTTTAAGGAAGCTCGTGACAACAAATTGTTTCAGGATCCCGCTGAAGTCAACTACTTCAAGAAAAAGAGATTGCCTGAAGGGAACGACCAGGTGATTTTACTGGCAACACAAATCCAAGCTTCGTTCCGATGGAAGCAAAGGAGGCACACAGTTAAAATGGGAAAGTCATTTCCATCGAAAGAGCAATGGTTGGAACAAAGCTCAGAAAGAATAAAACCATTTTTCAAACTACGCGGCCGTTGCGATATCGCCTGTCCACCGTTTAAGCGCAAAGAATGATAAGACAGAAAAGTGTCGAAGATACAACCAACACGGTCTGCTCATCAATTTGGGTTGTGGGATGAATCAGATTGGCTTGTGATTTGGAAACTTATCAATATGACTTGTTTCGGATTGGATTGGCTTGTTCGCTTTTGGATTGGCTTGTAAGAGGGATTAGATTGGCTTTTGAGGAGCATTGGATTGACTTGTGAGCATCAGATTGGCTTGTGAGAGGGGTCAGATTGACTTGTGACCGCTTTAGCGGTTTCGAGCATCAGGTTGACTTGATAGTTGTACAACGAAAATGCGTCATCATCATCACCACCATCATCATCATCGTCATCATCATCATCATCACCATCATCATCCATCATTCATCATCCAACATCAGCATCATCATCATCATCATCGTCATCATCTGCCATCATCTATCATCGATCATCGATCATCATCATCATCCTCATCATCATCATCCATCACCCATCATCATCGTCATCATTATCCAACGGCGATCATCGTCATCATCGTCCATCATCATTATCATCCATCGTTGTCATCATCATCATCATCAGGGTCACGATCGTCGGCTTAGCTCATATCTTACATACGCCTAAACTGTGCGGTTAGCAGAGCGCTACGATGAGAGTCATCCTGCCAGGACGATCGTCATCATCACCCATCATCATCATCATCATCAGGTTGGTCAACCGTCATCATCATCACAATCACCATGGTGATCATCACCGTCATCGTCAACATGATCCATCATCTTCCTCATCATCGCAGCACCAACATTCATCATCGCCCATCACCACCATCACGGCGATCGTCAGCATCATCATCATCATCATCATCATCATCATCATCATCACCATCATGGTGATCATCATCATCATCGTCGTCATCCGTCAGCTGCGTCGTTAGGCAGCGCGGCGTGTAGAGGATGCTATGATGACAGTCATCGTGGCACGCATGATCGTCATCACGCGTCATCACGCGTCATCATCATCATCATCATCATCATCATCATCATGATCCATCATCGTCATGCATCATCGCGTCCATCACCACTATCATCTGTCATCATAATTGTCATCATCATCGTAAGCGTAATCTTAGCCTCTATCTTGCGTGCGTTTCACCTGTGCTTTTAGGCAGCGCTCGGCGCACAGAGGATGCCACGGCGATAGTCATCGTGGCGATGAGGATCGTCGTCATCATCACCTTCCTCCTCCATCCTCGTCATCATCCGTCATCATGATCACCATCAAAACCATGCATCATCATCACCATCATCCTTATCATCATCCTCGCCTAGCATCATCCATCATGCATCCTTCATGATCCTCCATCATCATCATCATCATCATCATCCATCACCCTCGTCATCATCATCATCCATTGTAATTCATCATCTTCTGCATCATCATCCTCTGTCATCATCATCACTCATCATCATATTCATGGTGAGAGTCTTCATCATCCACCATTGTCACATCGTTGAACCGCAGCATTGTCATCCTCATTGCGGTTTCAGCGTGTCTCTTACAGAGGTGTCAACTTTGCTGCTAGGCAGCCGCGTGCAAAGGATGCTACGATGATAGTCATCATGCCACAAACTCAGCATCATCACCATCATCAGCATAGTCATCATCTCCATCCATCATGCTGATGATTATGGGTGATAATGCTGGTGGATGGTGGTGGATGACGCTGATACGAATATTACCTCTGATGATGACGAAGAACGTGATCACCATGATGGACGATGACGGTGACGAATGACGATGAAAAGAATGACGATGAAAAGAATGATGATGAGAATATTCATGATGGTGTGTGATGACAAGGGTGATGACGTTGGTGATCCTAACGTTCATCCGTGCACGGCACTTTGATGAAGCGGATGATGATGATGCTGGTGAGGATGAGGATGATGATGATGATATGATGACGTGCAGCTGCCGATGCGGCCACAGTCAATCTGATCCCCCAAAGTCAGTCTGACCATCACCTGACTGGAGGCGTGCGTTACGCAGGGCGCACAAGAACATTCAAAAGCAGGAGAACCCATTGCAGGGCATTGCAACAAGTTAAAAGGATGGAGAATTGGGGATCAGCAACAAGACTGTAGCTTATGCCGTTGCACCAAACATGGTGAAAAGTCTTATTGAATCGAAATTTCAAATCTAGCTGGGTGGCAAACATTACTTACGCAACTCAATGGCATGCTACTGAGGACAAGTCGACATGCGCTTCTTGAGTGCGCAGCCGGATTTAACGCATATCAAGTACTTGGCTACATGCAGTTTTTCTGGGATCTGTCTTGTTCTTGCTGACGCACTTGGTGATGGCAGCGAGCCCAAAAAAAAAAACAAGACAATTGGTCTGATAATTGCTTGCTATCAAAGAACGCTTGACAAGTTTCCAAGCGCTGCACATGGTAGACTTACAATTTCCCAGATAGCTGAGAGCTCTGGGGTTCTAACTTCTAATGAAAGGAAAGTGCCGGGTGCTGGGGGGCAGTTTGGGCGCTGGTAACCCACATGACTGCATAAGCGCAGTAAAGCGTGCGGCAGGGGGCAAAAGGCCCAGTTGCTACAATTGCCCCAAGGTGCGCAGGTGACAAAAAAACCAGCACCCGGCCGTCAAACTGCCTGCATGCTCCCTAGCACTTAACCCTCCCAAACTGCATGCCCCGACAATCTTGCAAAGCGGCACCTCCACCAGCGCTCCAAACTGCATGCCCCCTTGCACAGTCCTGGATCCGGAGAGCTTTGAGCGGGAGATTCAATCCCGGGCTTCCACAAAAGTAAGACTTGTACCAACCTAAGTTTTTTTGTCGAAAAACCCGCAAAACAGCCAACTCCATTCTGCGGAACGTTTTTCCGATGTCACCGGTCTTTGTCACCGCTCCGTTTTTGGTGCAAAAGTGAGCAAGCGAGGTGTCTCAGCCTTAGATTCGCTCGGTTTCGGTCGAAAACAGGCTCCAGACGCTCACTTTGCTCTCGATTCCGTTTTCTGCCCGCTCATCCCGCTGAGCTTGTCTCTTTTGGACCGAAAAGTGCGCAAAAGCGGCCAAGTTTCCAAGTTCTAGAGGACTTCGTTCTTTATAGGGTGTTCCGTTTTCTTGTGACACGGCAGCCTGCCGAACTTGTCGCCTTCGGCACCGAGCCGAACTCTCAGAGAGCTTGAAATCTTGGCAAGTTTGACTCAATATTAAAACGGGTTGAAACAATATTGTTTCATTTTTGGGCAAAGGTTGCCCGGTCGCAGGCGGGATTCGAGCCCCGGACCGTGGTGCAGAGACAGCGCTCTAACTACTAAGACAAGGGAGGTGTCCCACGGACCGTGTTGCCCGTAACACAAGCTTTCGTAATCCTCCGCTGCCACAAAAACCTGTTTGATCCTGCCAATCATCATACGCTTGTCTAAAAGCGAGACCGGCTCCGCGGCTTCGGTTTGAAAGAAGGCCGGCTCCGCGGCTTCGGTCTAAAAGCGAGGCCGGAGTTCCACCGAAGTCGGAACTCCAACTTCGCTCCAAGTTCCGATTTTGCCCGAAAAACCCGCCTGGCCCGCGTGCGGGCCTCGTGCGGGCCACTGACGCACCGAAGGTTGTCAGCGACCTGCTTCTCGCCATATCGCTGACAGAGTCGCCTTTCAGTCAATCCT